TGACTTCGTAAATTTTTCTGACATGTCTTTAGTCAACCTCTCTCCATCGCTCTGCCTTGCTCAGTGCATTCTCAAACACTTGGAGACGCTCAGTGTTTCTTTGACTTTTAAAGATGTGGTAAACTACATGCCTTTAATTAAAAACAATCACACACAGCAACCCCCAACTTTCATTTATAAAGTGCTTTGGTGCAACACCATTCCCCAACTGGGTGGAAGTCGACCCAGTGCCTAACCCCCACTGTTTTGCAAACTGCTTTAGGTTATATTGCATGCTTCTTTCTCTCTCTCTCTCTCTCTCTCCAGCATTATGTAAGGAAAGCAACTTGTTTTTTAACTGTTTGTTTTAATTTTCCAGGTAGAGTATATACCATTCAAAACACTCAGCACAGTAAATAATTTCAAGACTTGAATCCTAGACAGTGAACGGCTAATAGCCACTAAATGCAGTACAGTATGAACATATTTAGAAGGGAAGAGAGAGAGTGTGTGTATACTTTTATCTGTGATGGCAGCTGGCAGTTTCTTTTTAATGTGAGGCATATTGTGAGATGTAACTGACTGCAGTGCACTTCCCATTTCCCGAGCTGTAATATAACCAATGTAATCGCTTCCTCTTGTTATTTCACTGCAAGTTCTGTAAACCATTCCCAGCTGAATTGCACAAACCTCGGATAGTGTGCAAAGTAAAGGGGTATTGGGGATTACCCCCATCAGAAATCGTTAATCAGAGACCACCTCTCGCCAGTTGCCTGAAATCCCGAGTGGCATTACCATTGTTTCTTTTTCCCCTGCATCCAACCTGTCTGGTTTTTATTCCCAAATATCTGCTGCTGATTTACAGAGAGTTGTTAGCTTCTTTAACTGCCCAGAGGGTATCTTGGCACGCTAGCTAACGTCTCTATGAGGGCTCACAGTTTCTTTCAATGTACTCGACAGACCGAGTTCCCGTCCGAGCTTCAAACTCGGGCATAAATTCTGAGCTCCTCTGTGCCACCAGCACATTGGGTTAGGTCAACCCATGGTCTTCCAACCTCCAATCTGAATGGGGTTGTATTGTGGATGTTTTGACCCTTGGTCCATCAAGCCTGGTTAATATGTTAATCTCATTTCGCTGACCATTAACACCCCACCCCGAGGTATTTTATCTACAGTAATTTCCTGTTGAGCATCCCAATTGGTTCTACCTGTGCCGTCTCGTGGGGCAGTACGTTCTATCTTCACATCGGACTCTCAGTAATGGGCTGGTTGGGGCCTGGCCCTGGGCTACCACAGAAAGGCTGTCGTAAGGACCGTGATGCTTGACTGGGTCTAATGTAGATTGTCTCGTGTAAAGGGAAGGATCCATTAACTCGGCAGCTCTTCCACCTGAGGCCATTGTTAAATCTGTTCTAATTGTTGGAGTAAATCACTGGCAGCATTGTACCTATCCCCTACCTACCTGCCCGTACCCTCCGTTCCTCTGGCTCCGGTCTGCTCCACGTCCCCCGCCCCAACCGCCCTACTATCGGTGGTCGGGCCTTCAGCCTCTCAGCCCCGAGGCTCTGGAACTCCATCCCCCAGTGCCTTCGCCTTGCTTCCTCCCTTTCCTCCTTCAAGGCCGGTCTCAAAACCTTTCTCTTTGACCGAGCCTTCAGCTCCCCTCTCGACTCTCTTCCTCCTCCTCGCTCCCTCCCTTCCCTCCCCTCACCCTGACCATTTCCCCCTCCTCTCTCCCTCCCTTCCCTCCCTCACCCTGACCATTTCCCCCCTGCTCGGGTCATGACCCAACTGTGCAGCGCCTTGGGACGTCCTCCTGACGTGAAAGGCGCTCTATAAATGGAATCTTGTTGTTGTTGTTGTTGTTGTTGTACACTCTGGCTATAGCCTCCAGTTATGTTTTGACTGTGTTTCACCCACAAAACACACAGTCCAAACCACTTTACAGTATATCACATGAGGCGCTTTTGAGACCTCTCGACCACGAGATGTCTCAAAAGCATCTCGACAACATGACAAGGCTCTATGTCAAATGTAAGGATTATTATGTTCCAGGCAAATTGATTATTTGTCCAATTGTGGAAACCCTTGAAGTGACAAATTGCTTTGGTGTTAATGGGCGAGAGTTGCAAATGTTTAAAGAGCGAAGTATGTGCAGCTCTGGGTTTTTGGTTGCCCAGAGCTTGTTCTGTTTTATGTAACTTGATTTCTTTGTCTCGACCCTGAAAATATATTCAATGTGGTTTTTTTTGAGGCAGCTTTAAGCTATGGCTACGGAGAAGGATCGTTTTGAATCCCTCGCTCATGAGGCTTTTTTTTTTTACACACCCTGTAATTTGCGCCCACCAAATCTTATACCCAACCAAGGCTTGACTTTTCAATCAGTACAAAAAGTGAAACTTGGTCACAGTTTTTGAGACCAAGTTGACTTCAGTGTGTTTTTTTTAGCTTCCAGTGGAATTCTTGACCATGTGCAAAAAACACCCACCACTCAACCTCACACCCAAACCTCACCCTGTCTCATTACTGAAGTCGTCTTAATTTACAAACTGGTTATTTCTAGGAACTGCAGAAAACTGTTTCTAAATTTAAGCTCGATCTGAGAATTTTTCATAGTTCTGCACAAACCTAAATGTTAAGACCGAGCAGTGTTGTAGGCCAAGTGTAGGCAGAATGTTGGCTCTGTGGTTCTGAGTGGGTGAGTTTCACAGTCACTGTGTCCGTCTGACACCTGGGTTGGGATCTGTGCCAGTTGGATTCCTGTTCTTCAATGCTTAAGGCAGTACCGTTTTGGGTTTTAGAATTAGCAAATTGCCAACCAAATCTAATTAACTCCCCTAGGAGTGACTGAGCTGTCTCTAAGTGTCTCATTTCACAGTCACTAATTTTACAGGCTGCTTCCCACAGCCTCCAGTGCTCAGATGCTAAATTATTATTTTTTTATAAATACAAAAAACATTTATTTCCCTGCACTGAGCAGAGGGATTGCTTCAGGAAGTTGATAATGGATCCCAGCGGGACTATAATGAAGAGCCCAGGCAAGGGGCAACTTCTCCTCCCACCCCCCTTCCCCCCCCCACATACACGTGCGCACATACATAGCCAAGAGGGACACACACTCGTGAACACACACAGAGCCAAGTAAGCATCTTCCCACACCCCGACCCCTGGAAGTGACTATGTGTAGGTGATTGCCATTCTGTTGTGTTCGGATGTCAATATAACCCTCTTCCCGTAAGTTTAATTTGGTTTTTTTTCTGGTCAGCCGGGTGTCTGAAACACACGGAAACCCATCACTCTGCTTAAGAGTCTCCAAACCAAACTGCATCCCACCTACGCATGGAAATTCCAATGGATATTCTCCAGCACAATGGTGCTACTCAGACACCTCCTGCTTAGGCGGAGTCACCCTTGTGGGTTTCCATTGGGCTCAGAGTAACTCTCTGACGGACACATATGAATGTGAGCCTCGCTGTCCCACACGCTGCTGAGGTGCTCAGTATGTGGTTGACTGGCTGGATGTGCTCCAGACAATTGGCCCCTGATGTTGCAGGAACTAATGCCACCTGAGCAGGTGCAGGTCAATGTTGTGGCAACACGCTGCTCGCCTAATCTCTTCAAAATGTACAGCTGCTGCCATGCTCACCGCCATCGTCACCCTCATCTCATGTAGTTTTCAATACCTACTCAACACTCCTGAGGTTGTATCTATTTACACTGATCCTCCCTGCCCGTCCGTAGTGCAGGAAAACTTCACATCCTTGTTGTTTGAGGCATGACGTGCAAGCGACTGCCAGGATGGTAGAAGGCAAACTGGATGGACCTTGGTCTTCTTTCGTCTAGCAATTCCTATGTTGTTGCGTTTCACTACCACCTGCCCGAAATCGGGGAGGAGGGGGGGGTGGAGACATTCTCACTCCGAGACCAGGCGGGTTGCGATCCTGACCCTCACATTGGGGTCAAGGCCATTTTCTACTGGTATCGGTGTCTGTGCCCAGTCACCGTTCCCTGCCCAAGTTGTTGCCTATCCTATGCATTGGAATGATATAACGTGTTTTACAGTACCCCCTTGTGGCTCAACTGAATAATGCGGTAACGAGTCATTTTTTGAGGGTGGCTCAACACGTAGCCTTCAAAGGCTGATGGACGGTTTGGTTGATTGTGCAGCTAGTTGAGGCTGGCTTGTAGATTAGTTGGGTAAGAGGCCCAGGTCCCTAACACAGGTTGCTGACGGCTGTGGTAACTCCTGGTAACTTGATGTTGCTGAGTGAGTGACATTGTCCTGAGCAACAACAACATGCATTTATATAATAATAATAATAATAATAATCCTTGCATTTGATATAGCGCTTTTCACGTCGGGAGGACGTCCCAAAGCGCTTCACAGAACACACTGTAAAGTGAATTGACTGTATATTTGTGGGCGAACGCGGCAGCCAATTGCGCACAGCAATGTCCCACAAACAGTCGTGGATTGAAAATGACCAATTTATTATTGTTTTTGGTTTTGGAGGGATTATTATTAGGCTCTGTGTGGAGTAAGGAAACTTGCCCAAGGTTTCGCCCTGCCTGGAATTGAACTCAGGTCTCTCGCTTGCAAAGCGAGTGCTCAACCACTGAGCTACAGGACTCCGCTATATCACGCACGGTAGTGTTTCAGAACGCTTAACAGTGGAGGAGCCTGATGCCCAGCCAGGGGGTGGTGGGGGGGAAGGTGACCATAAGCACCATTGAAGAGGAAGGTCTTCAGATGCGACCTGCAGATGGGGAAGAAGGGGGCAAGGCAGAGGGATTGTGGGAGAGTGTTCCAGAGTTTCGGGGCGTATTGGCTCAAAGTGCAGCTGCCGATGGTCAAACAGCGGGCACAAGGGGCAAGCAGGAGGCAGGAGTCTGACTGTGTTCCTTTGGGGGAGTGTGTGTGTGTGTGGGGTGGGCGGGAATTGGAAGAGGAGTGCAGTTGCTTTGCTCCTTGTTGGAGTTCCCATGTTTTTAACTAATGCTTTCTGCTCTCTCCTGTACAGTTTGTGGCTTTGTGGTCCATAAGAGGTGCCATGAGTTGGTTACGTTCAGCTGCCCCGGAGCGGACAAGGGACCCGACAGTGACGTGAGTCCAGCGGTTAATTCTCTCAGCGCTCTCACCCTGACCACTCGATTGATACCATACTCCCCTCACGCTGCGCTCCCAGAAACTCACAGCGGAGAAACCGGTTTTGAGGGATTCATGAAATACTTAAATATATATTAACGAATACATCACGGGGGGGGCGAGAAGTGGGGTGGGGGGTTTATTTGATTTGTCGCTCGTTCAGTGTGAGACACCAGAATGTAAGGCTTGTAACTTGGTGCCTGTCATTGGTCACGTCTCCTGTCGCATAAGGTCAGAAGCCTCTGTTTCTGGGCACTCGTGTGTAGTCAATGAAGTGTTTGTCCCGGACAATGGTGATTGCACGAGGAGGCGTAGGGCTGCCTGTGTACAAGTCGGGATGTGACTCTGTTGTGCAACTTGTTTTCTTTCTCAGCGAATGTAACAAGCGTTTTATTATTTATATGGCCGAAGAAGAATGTTCTAGACTGAGTGGGAAGGAGGGGGGGGCAGTAACATTGTAAATGGTGGGGGGGGGGGCGTAAAGTCACAGCCTTGTGACTTGAAGGGGAGTGTGCTGTGAGCTGAGCAAGGCTGCCACAAACAATGGCTAAGGACAGTGGGACGGTGTTGGTGGTCTTGCTCCCCCACCCGTGCTGATACAAGACAGTCAATCCGTATTGCTCCACACCGTGTCTCAGATCCCAAGGTTTCCAATCTGCACCTGAGACAACATCTTAAGAACATGAAAATTGCTAGACAAAAGAAGACCAAGGTCCATCCAGTTCACCTTTCACCATCTCCCGGCAGTCGTGTGCACGTGTCATGTCCCAAACTTTTTACTGTATCCCACCATATTTCCTAAAAGAAATTTTTATCTAATTTGCTTTTGAAAGATTCAACACTTTCTGCTTACACCGTCTCCCTCGGGAGCCTGTTCTATGCCTATTCACTGAAGTAGTATTTCCAAAGGTTCCAGCTATTTTCACTCCCTGTGGGTTAGGATGTGCTACACCTGACATAGGATTTCTCTCCCCTTCTCCCCACCACACACCCCCACCTGTACCAGCAGCCGTGACCAGCACATCCTCATCAGGCACTATGCACCAGATTGTTCCACACTCTCATCGCTTTGGGAGGAAATTCAAACGATGGCTTATTTAAATTCACATCCACAGAGCCTTTTTTTTCCCCTCCGGTTTCATTTCAGGTATATAAAATATTAAGTTATTGATAAATTGGCTGTATCCATACCACGTTAATATTTTATGCCCCTTCCTACACTGGTTTTCTGTCATCTCTCCTCGAAGCTCAATCACCTTACACCAGGAATCATTCCCTTTGTTCTTCTCTATTTTGCCCCAAAGCTTATGTGTGTGTTCTGGTGGAGTGGGGTGTAGTGATAACTGAACCCAGTGCCCAGAAGTGGGATTAGGCAGCCAGTATCTGGTGGGAAAGGACCTTATCGTAGCATTGAAGCAAAACAAGAATTCCTTCTTGCGGAATGCACAGGCCAGAAACTCATACATAGGTGAACAAGTGGATGAGGCATTTAAGAGCAAGGGGGGGTTTAAAAAGAAAAATCCTGAGGGGTATGGCGGGGATCTTGTTACATTTGAGCCACAGGAGGGTGGGCTCAATTGGCCGATTGGATGCCTCGTGTTCCTTTGATCCTTTCAGTTTGCTGTGAAATTGCTTTGCTATGTTCTGAAATTGAGATTAATATCCTCCGCCTCTCCCACATCTCGCTCCCTGCCAATTAATTTCATTCCGTTTCTACCTTTTTTTTTGACCAGTGTGGAATAAATGTCAGCTGTGGGGGCTAAAACCTATTTGCCGGGTTGCATTGTAGACGCAGCTCCTCTGCTGCCTCTCACGCTCATTCTCGCTCACTCGCTCACTCATTCTCCCCAATCACTGGCAAACAACAGACTTGGCAAGCTTTCACTTGTATCGATGTTCAAGTCATTAATGTAGATTAGAACCAGCCTAAGCACTGTGCCCTGTGGACTTCGCGAAGCACTTTCCTTCCCTCACTGCCCATTGTAACATTTTTCACTTATTTCAGCCTCTTGTTTTTTTCCATACTTCTTAGCCAATCCTGGATACCAGAGTCCTTAAATTCCACTGTCTTTGCCTGCAAGACCGTTTTTTTCCCCCATTATTGAGCCAATGCTGTGGCTGGTGCTGGTAGGTCTTTCCACGTATCTTCTACATTCTTCTTCAATTATTTATCAAATTGTCTTTTAAACGTTGTCTCGGCCTCCGCAATAAAACTGACGTGAAAGGCGCTATCCAAATGTAATCTTGTTGTTCTCATAACTCTGCGTGAGAGACTCTACCAACACTTTCCCCCCACCTACCGCATACCATACCTCCACACCCACAAAATATTCAGTCATTACGTTTTGCAGTATATTCTTTGAAGCACTTTGAGACATCTCGAAGATGTAATAAGGCGCTACATCAAATGCAAGTATTATTGTATAAGTAGCTCAAGTGGGAAGCAATAAATAACCCCTGTGCGTGTGGGAAGCAGCTGCGCTGTGGTTAATGCAGGACATGTCAACTAGCAACCGGGATAGAGGGTTTGAGGGGGTCAAAACGGGACCATCCTGTGCAATCATGAACTGTTGGGAGGTGTGCCCTTTCCTCTTCCACTATCAGCTGAAGATTATGCCTCTGGTTACAAGAGTGGTTGCTGTTCACAGGGAGTAATAAAACAAACTCCAAGATGATAACAAATCTGATCAAAGGTTGAGAACAATGGTTGCCTATTCTCTCCGCTGGTCTCCATGTGACAAGCCCCGGAGCCTGACTTTGCCTGGTACAGACGCCACAGAGACCTTGAATGTGTGTATGTGTATGTGTGTGTCCAGCTTCATCCAAAGCCATCTACAATCTGCATAACGACTTTTAAATTGGCGATACGATGATATGGGGTGGGGGAGAATTAAATGGCAGTTATGAACTGGGAACAAATAACTGTTGTTATCTACACTTCAGATAAGTTCAATTCGTGATTGATCACATTGCAACACATGAATTACACCAATCAACTAGTAAATTGTTTCAAAAAGATGTCCTCCAAAGCTGGCTGGGCAGAGCTGCTACTGACTTGCCTTTCCCTTTCACCCCCACCCCATATCCCTGCTACTTGTCCAGCTAAGACCACCCTATCCACCCTAACCCTGTAAGCTTTGTGTGGAGGGAATGTGACCTGTAGTGTGAGTGAACGGTGGAGATGCAGAATGTAATATCCGGCCCCTGAGACACACCGACTCTCTTCTATATTAAATGGAAATCTTCTGGCTGAGCCTGATCTCCTGCTATAATTTTTTTTAAAATACCTCCAAAGTCGTCTTCAATTTAATATGAATTTGGCAGCCTGACCCTTCGCCCTGAAGCTGCACTTTCTCTCCGTGCATTCACTCCACCACCGTCTCTTGCAAATGAACCTCCTGCAGCATGTTCCACAAGAGTAGAGGCTGGTCCTAATGCTGCAGAGCCATTAATGTGCCGCTCTGATCTACGCCTCTAGCGTAGAGTTCTGTCGCGTAGTGGTTAGAGCGCTTGCCTTGCGAGCGAGAGGACCCGAGTTCAATTCACGCGGGAGGAGGCAAGTTTCCTTCCTCCCCGCCTCTGTTTGCCTAGCAGTAAGTAGAAACTCGGTTGTTAGTCGATTGATGGATCGCTTTCCGGGATAATAATTCCTCTTTTTAAAAAGAATTTGGTCACTCAATCCACGACTGTTTGTGGGATGCTGCTGTGAGCTTGCCAGTGCCTGCTTTTACTTTCCTGGCAGCGTGTGGGATGGGGAGAGAGGGGTAAGAGAGGTGATGATGTGAGGCAGGAAAGAATTGCTAATAAGATCTGCTGAGACTGAAGCACGCAAACACTCACTGGCAAAGCATTGCCCTCGCCCCATGGGCTCAATAATGATTTCTCTCAACTCTCTCCTCATCTTCTTGGCCGTTCTTCCTGTGCCTATCCCTGCTGCGGAGCAAGACGCACATGTCATTTATTATTCATCCCGTACACAGCCACTGCCTGCCCTCTCAGCTCAGTGGTAAATGGCCGGACTTCAGTTAGTTATTCAGAACCCAGGTTGATTTGAAACGTTTATTCTGAGACTTAAGGGGAAATTAGAAGATGCAGGGGAAATAAACTGGGCCAGAGTGAATAAAGAGGGATTTGATTTGCAGATGTAGGATCTGTGTGTGTTCATTCCATTCCCCATCCTCAGCAATTATAGCACTCAGGCTGGCTCTAAGTTCTCCGCTCTGCCTGTTCTCTATCTTAGCGTCAGGCTCCGTCTGTTAAATGTTCTGAGACGCTACTCTGCGTGAATATAAATCCCAGTTGTTGTTGTTGTATGAACTCCTTGCTCCCCTGCCCTGGGCCCTGGAGTATGGCTGCCTCTTGGTTTATTGGTCAGAAGCTAAAGTTTTTGCTGAAAGGATTCAAGAGAAAGCATTGTGCAACATCAATTAAAAAAAATCTATTTTCACCTGGCGCCTTCTCTGTAGAAATGTCTGCTTAATGGAACTTTGGTGTATCTCAATGGGAGAGAGGGTCTCCTTCAGCCAGTATTCCCCCCCAACTCACACCTGTCTAGAGAGAAATCCTTCACGGTCTAATGAGCTCCGAGGCCTGTCTCCCTTTTTCTCCCCCGTGAACTGCACCACCTCTTCCTAACTCTTGATAAATCCTGGCCTCCTGCTCTCTGTGATACTAGTATTGATTGTGTGAGCTGCTAGGTGTGAGGCTGGTGTGTTTTTTTTGTGTATGTGCAGATGGCTGGGTGCAGACCTTTGAGCAGCAACGACCCAGGAAGTCTCGCAGCTTATCAGTTAGTGTTTAGTCCCAAGCACGCGGTGTTATTGATCGCCTCTCTCAGCCCAGTCATGGTAACGCGTTCAATGCACAGTGGGAAATGGCTTTCCATCTTTCATCCTGTCTTCTGCAGTGTCTGGATGGTGACTGTGGGTGTGGCTAGGTTTCAGTCTGATGCACACACT